GGGGTGTGGCAGAGCTGCAGAGGTAGAAGAGAAGTAGCATTCGCTGTAGACAAAGTAGAATTCGAGGCAAAAACTTTGGTGTGACAAAGTTGATCCGTTGCTTATTTGAGAACATCTTTCCCTTGCTTATGCATGTGTAGGACTTCCCTATTGGAATACATTTCTTCAATCACAGACTTTTGTCCTCATAATTCTCTAAAGCTTCCCCACCAACTATGACATCTGGTGCTGATGAATGATGTGAAGCTACGTCCACTCCTGTGTCAAGCAGTGCCTCTCGCTCTCATACAATTTATCAGGTCATAGTGAGCAAGATACACGGCATGGCCACATTGAACACTCCTGCGGCTCTCGGTCTTCCACGGAGGTCAGATACAAATAGATGCATTGTTTGCTATTTCACATATCACCACCTCTCATTATTCTCATCTCTTGTTGTCCCAGATACACATGCTTGAGACTTTTCCTATGCTGTCTTCTGTCATTACATCCAGAATCAGCTCTTCTCTTTAAAACTGTTCAAAACTTCCCTTGCATTCTTGTCTCATGTCTATCTTTCTGCATGACTTTACACCTTAGCCAGCTCCCTTTTGATCTTATCTTTTGCTGCTTTTCTATAACACTCCTTTTTTTTCCTACTAAGGTAAACCAAGTTGATTTATCCAACATATTTACAAGTTCCTGTGCAAGAACCTCTCCCTAGGTTTGTTTCTCTTCCACGTCTTTTGAGTAAATGAATCTTTTATGAAGCAGAATATGTTCAGGCTCCCCACCTCATCTTTCATTGGCTCTCTCTCTCTCTCTCTCGCTGGTCATCTTTGAATGAGGTGGCTTGTTTTTTTTCCCAACAAGATGTTGGTAGAATCAGGTTTTTGATCTTAAGCTGAAGGGCGATGGTATACAGACAACTTTTAGATCTCCATGTTCCACCAAACTATTATTTCATGCATCTTTACTGGACAGAGGCTGAATTAATTATCTTCCCCTCCCATTGCTGGATACCTGAATCTAAGTAATTTTATTTCTGAGCAGCTTGAGGAACTCTGCAGTTCTCATTTTTATAAGTATGGTCCAGAGACTCCTTAGGAAGTATCATTTCCACACTGGCCCTGCCTTCTCTTCTGCTTGCTATTATCCTAAGATGCGGTGCAACCCCTCTCCTCCCTGGGAAGTTGGGCTCCCAGTGCTACATGGGAGAAAGGGGATGTCGGTGGAGGAGATACAGTGAAGACACCACCCTAAGTGTGGAGGAGCTCCTCAAGAGGAGAGAGTGTCTGTGCGGGGGGCACACTGCCTCTCCTCCCCAGCAGTCTTGCCTTGAATCAGTTTCCGAGGTCTGCGGATGAGTGAATCCTGGCTTATTTCTCAATTCAACCCATTCATACTGTAATTAGGGATAATTCCTTAAAAAGCCGCTAAATTATTCATTAGAGACTTAAGTTTCTAGTACAGCTGTAACTTTGCATATTTTTAAATGCTTGGATTTACTTTTCAATGAGAAAACACTCTGTCTTCTCTGCTCCACTTTGCTGAAGGAACCAGGGATCCTGAGCCAAGGAAGGATGGAAAATTCCACAACACTCTGCAAAGAGCCAGGGGCTTACACACCACATGGTTCCAGTGGGATAATGGGATTCATCTTGCAGAGCCTGGGTCACTTGCCCCATCCCTGCCCCTCCCCATCTACTTCTGCAGTGTAGCCACACTCAACCGCTTGTGATGACCGGACACAACATTTCTCATGTGTTTGTGTCTTGGGACATTCTACTCCCTTGGTTTGGAATTCCATTCCCCTCTTCCTGCCCTGGTAAAGTTCTGCTAAGTCTTGGAGATGTGTTTCAGGTGGCATCCCCCCCCCCGGGTGGGGGGAGGCTTTCCTGATGATCCCCTCCCAAGAATCTCCTCAAAGGTCTGCAGAGAGCATACAAGATCCATGTTGCGTATTTTATCTGCTGACTTGGCTGTTCCCCACTGGAGCATGACCTCCTTCCCAGCACCTTGCATGGCTGGCAGGGTGGTGGTCCAGTGAATGAAGGCAAGAATATGATATTAACAATTAGCTTCCATGAATAAAGGCAGCCAATGAGCTTTTTTCAGATCTACCTATGATGGCAGATCATCACTATTACTGCAACATAAGTGCATCTAGTATAAAGTGAAATGAAGTTAAGTCCTTTATAATATTTACTAAACTTTAGATGACTTATCCAAATTCACAGCTGTTCTAATATTACATGAGACCCTGTTGCTATGCAGTCAGTTAACCAATAATATATTGGGTTGTGTGATATTAACATGAGGCTCAGAGGTCACCCACCCTGGCATCTCTACCTGTTTCAACCTCTAATTCAGTTGAACAAATGACATGCTTATTCAAACAAAGCTGCTATCTAGTGTCATGTCATTGGAACTCATGGTGTATATTGACATCGTACTGCATACAAAACAACACTGCATACAAAACATTACTTCAAAAATGATTATTACACAAAATTACTATCTACCCAAAAAAGGAAGATGAGCTTCACCACTAGACCTATTTAAAATGAGGGAGTTTGACTCATTCTTCTGGTTCATTTGGAGTTCTAATGGTATTCCTTTGATTAACTGGAAACAGATCGATAAAACATATCTATGATATGAGGCCATTTACCTATGAATATAACCATATATAACAAGATTGATCAACTTAAAATATCAACTATATAACATATTTATACATGATACATTAATATAAGATACGCAATATGTTTTATATGTAAAATGTATAGCTATATAATAAAAATTAAATATAATATCTAAATTTATTGATTTATAATAGGATATAAAATTTAATAGAAATTTTTGAGAGAGAGAGAGAAAGCATGTATGAGTGAGTAGGTTGTGGGGGTGGGAGAGGGGCAGAGGGAAAGGGAGAATCTTACACAGTTTCCACACCCAGCGGGGAGCCTGACACAGGGCTTGATCTTATGACGCTGAGATCATGAGCTGAAATCAAGAGCATGCTCAAGCAACTGCACCGCCCAAGCACCCCTTAATAATTACTTTTAACAGTATTCTGAAAATTGACCTGTAAAATGTTTCAATGCATTTTTATTTTCTTGTTAACTATGGTGAACCTGCAATGATGTATCTGCTCTTTTAGCTGACCTGGAGCTGACCTCACCTCCTGCAATTACCACTTTAGGCCACTAGGCTCCAAAGATAGAACAAAATCCCCTCCCTGCTTCTCTGTTAAGCAGTTAGTAACATATAAACAACCCCCTAAATATGTTCTTTAGATACAGGATATTTAATGCATGCTTTCCAGAATAATAATTCCTAAAAATTCTGAAATTTATCAAAAAATCAAAAATTTTTAGAGTTTGGAAATTTTAGAGTTTGGAAACTCCCATCTCAAACATGCATTTAACTGTTTACCTCTGGGGCAGACACATTTTTCCCCAAAAGATAAGTAAGAGTGTAAGTGTTATATTCTTATGGGTTATAAGTTCAAAAAAAAAAAAAAAACAGGGAAAAATAAAAGCAGAGATTTTACAGATGGTAGACCAGGTCAGAATGATTATTCTATCATCAACCATGTTAGTAAGAAATATTGTTTTATTTTGTCCTTTAAAATAGAGTAGTCAAAAGTCAAAGGTAAAATGAGTATCAATATGCTTTGAATAAAGTATGAGCTGTTTGCCACACAATAAACAATATCCATATGAGAGAAAAGGTATAAGTTGCCATAAGCTTCTTCAACTGGATATTTAGCACATTCGCAGTATGGGTTTTCTAAGAAGAGGAGTAGGTATACTGAGAAATGTCTCTATGATACTCAAGGATGGTATGCAAAGTCATGGAATCCTTACATAACATGTGCAATCTGATCATCTTTTATGGTCATTAAATTAAATGGGAAACAGGATCACCTTAGTGTAAAGTGCTTATAAATGTATGTATGATATGCATTCAGATTTTAATAACTCAGTAATGCACAATTACAAGGACAGAAGGCAAGGTTCAGTCAAGAATCATTAAAGCCTGTGAAAAATACAAATAGTTGAGTTGTTCTTCCTGATTTATTACTAAACAAGATCTATAGCAAATTGGAATACGTAAGGTAGGCAAAGAGAGAAGAAAATAAATATATCTCCTAAAACCAGCACTGCATTATCCACAGGAACATGTCCTTATTACTAAATTTTAGAAACACACATTGATAAAAGCTTGGTAGGTAGGAAATTACAGGAAGATAATGTAATTCTGAAGTCATAAAATATTCCATAATGGAAGGCGTTGCAAGATAATCTTGGCATGGACAATGCTTGCTTTTATAATATGATCTATGTTAAGGTGATTTTAAAAATCAATTTAAAAATTCATAAGATGATTTTATTCTCCTGTTGCTATACAGGTTTATTATACAATCTTTCATCCAGAGATTATTTCATGGGAGTCTGTTCCAGGACAAATGTTCTTTTAGGCCACTAGGCTCCAAAGATAGAACAAAATCCATCTTCCAAACAGGATATTTTTATAGGCCCTTCCCAATATCACCCCCAGCATGTGGGCAAAATTCACAAACATCTCACAAGTGCCCCTGTCCTGCAGACCAGGGAGCTTTGCTACGTGCCCCTCACCCTAAACAAGTAACATGTGGGCAATTAGTGCTCCTGTTAAGGGCTATCAGCAGAGATTTGGTCCAATTTTAAAAACTGAGCACTGAAAAATAGGATTCTATCAAAATCCCCTCAGCCATCGCTTCTCGGCCTTTTGGCTAAGATCAAGTGCAAAATCCCCTCAGCCATACTTTTCATCCTAAAAACAGATTCCATAGTCTAAAAACACAATGAATGAGCTACTCAACACTCAATTTCTTTATAAAAAGGAATCATGCTCATGAAAAAAATTATAACTTGAAATAATCATTTCATTAAAATGACAAGTACAGTTTTCATACCCAAAACTAACGTATAAAGCAAAAACAAAAAGTAGTATATATTTGGGGCACCAACCTGCTATTGGCTGAGGCGCTAACAGCACACTGGGAAGAGGCCTGGAGGCAGGAGCTGGTCTGGACAGAGACAGAGCGACTTGATTTGCCAACAGATGAGGCTTTTCATGCCCATGGAACAACATTGACTCCTCAGGATATATCCACATTGAGTCCAGAGCAAAGGAATTATTAAAAAATATCTGTCCAAAAATAAAGCAAGCATAACATTTAAGACAAGACACATGATAAAAGCTAAACACTGCTATAAAATAGTTCCATTTCTTACACTGATCAAATATTGGAGATTCTTTAAGTGGGCACTCTCTAGAAGTATCATTCTAAAACCTAAAGATCCATGGAGCTCTGACACCAATCACTTTCTAGATAAAGTCTCGTGGGCTGGTCTTCAACCATTGACTCGGTTAATTCAGCCTTGCAGCCAGTTTTGCAGATTGAAGAATCACCCCAGTGAGGTAAATAGTGTGTTGTAGAAAAGTCACCATATTACTTGCCTTTAGCTTTCAGGTAAACACAGTGTGGCCTTTAAATTTGAATCCAAAAGCTAAGAAAATCATCAGAAAGATGAACACTTAAAGCAACAGCAAGAAAAATCCGCTCATAAAACTTATACTTAAATTATATAATGTTTAAGACTAGATTTTGATCAATGCTTACAGATCTAAAAACTGAAAAAAATTTTAAGCTGGATTCTGTTTCAGAGGTAGAAATTTTATATTGTTCCACAGAATCCAATTTTTTCAGTTAAAACAAAATGAACCCCCACCTCTGCTGGTGTTTCTGAACAGACTGATCTTATTCTGAAAAGGTTTCTCTCTAGACCTAGATATTGCAATTAGAAAACACACAATCTTTTCGTTGTTATGCAACTACCCAACAAATTAATAATTAAAGGTCCATTTATCTAATTAAATGACCTGCATTTTACCTTACAATTAGGTATCCTTTTGTCAATCCAACTTTTCCCAATAGGAGGTGGAAGAGCAGATGGGCAGACGTGTGGGAAAATGGGTACCAACTCCACAGCGGAAGAGGGAGACAGTCCTATGGATGGAGAATGGCCACCGCACAGCCACTGAAGCCCAAGAAAAGATAAGGGAGGGCACATTAGCCTAAACAGATCAACTACTTTATACCACAAGATGCTGGGATAGCTGCTTTAAGAAAAGAATTTAAAAATGTATGTATTCGATTAGGAGAGAAATTCCTCCTTTCAACAGTGAAGAAAAACCATAAATATTCACAAATTTTAAAAATGTATAAAAGTTTTCATATTTGAATCATCACAAAGCATCACCAACATTGCATTCTTCGATACTGAGAAAGAATTTCTAAGCACAAAGCCATGAGAATATGGTAAGAAATGGGTTTCTCAGGTGGCGCCTGGGTGGCTCAGTCGTTAAGCGTCTGCCTTCGGCTCAGGTCATGGTCCCAGGGTCCTGGGATCGAGCCCCGCATCGGGCTCCCTGCTCTGTGGG